GTATTGAAAAGTCCATTTTTAATTTTACGCAAAATGCGATATCCGCCGAGTTATTCTGTCATGTTTTCTCCCTCATTTTCCAAACCGTGACAAACGCCACCTCCCTTTTCTGCAGAATGCGATATATACGCTCACAGCGCACCATTCCACGCACTGTAAACAGTAACAACCAAACACAGCGGACCACTCCACGCACTCTAGACAGTAATGGCGGCGCTTTGAATACACCCAGCATCCTAGTTTTCCTCATCTATTTTGTACTTAGTGATCAACAAACAAACAAAAAAATTAGGGCTGCACGATAAATCGCATGTGATTGTCATGCGCAACTCATCAGTAAAGCCGGTTCTGTGAACAGTAAATCTCCATCACATGCTTTCAGATGGAGCAGCATTTAATACACAGAGCCATAGATCACTGCAATATCGCGTTCATAATCGCAGATGAGTCGCATTCCATTATGTACGCGATATTGAGTAGGTTGTCAGTGTAAGTGTTTTTATTTATGCCATTTATTTTTTTGTTAATACAGCGTATAGCACTAGTCAACTAAATTAATGTAACATGGCAAAGATGAATGCACTTTTGGAAGTTGAATGTAAGGGAATTTCTGTGGTCTAATGTGATATTGTTGTTCATGTATGTTCATGATGAAATTTTATTTTATTGTTGCCATTAATTTATAGCATTAACAAGATGACCCGTTGAATTCTTTTTGGGAGCGATGACTGATTGAATGTATTTTTAGTCCAGTGCCTGCATATAAGATTAGTATTGACCAAGTTCAGAGGCTGTCATATGTGGATCAACTTACTATGTTGTGTATTTTCAGCAGTATCAATATGAAAAATAACTTTTATATTGATTCAATGGATTTATTGCATTTTGGGGAAAAAAAATAAAATTTTATAATAAATCTTTGGAAATCAAAATCTGGATTTGAATTTTTAATGTTATTATAACTTAAAGATGCTATGTAAAAGTTTGAAACAGAAAATAGTGGGTTTCATCTTGCCACTTTCTTGGTAAAGAAAACTCAAAATGGATTTATAGCATTTTGGAAGCAAACTCTTATATATATTTATTTCAGTAATTCAACTCAAATTGTGAAACTCGTGTAATAAATAAATTCAATGCACACAGACTGAAGTAGTTTAAGTCTTTGGTTCTTTTAATTGTGATTAACATTTTAACAAAAACACTAAATTAGACAGTTACAGCGTTACTGTATATTTTAGTATTATTTACATACTGTTTTAGTATGTATTAATCATTTTTATAATCTTTTATTTTCATATTTTCAGTTTTTTATTTAATTTTGTTTTTTCTAAAAATAAATAGGTAATTCTGTAGCTTGCTTTTGTCATTTGAATACATTTTTATATATATTTTAGTTTTAGTACCATTTTATTTATTTCAATTAGTTGCCAAGACAGCATTTTATTTTATTTTTTAAATATAATATTTATATTTTACTTTGTCATCTTTATTTTAATGACCCAAAAAATTTAAAACAATATATAAGTTTTAGTTAACAATAACAACACAGTGATAGATGGTTGTTTTCCAGATTTGCTAACCATTGGCAGGTCTTGTAAAAAAGTTAATTCAGAACCCCACATATGCATGAGTGACCACAGTAAACTCAGTCAGTCCCGCCGCGCACAGCGTGAGTGTAAAACGTCCACTGGGTTGCGATGTAATGAAGAGCTGTTTCATTCCCCAGACCATCAGGGTCCTCTCTCAATGAATACCACACTTACTGTATCATCTATCAGTCCTGGCAGCCGAACTGTCACACACAACTTCCTGCCCTTCGTGTGTGTGTGTGCGATGCAGTGAGGCCTGGGTTGCAGTGGGCTATAATGAGGCCCTTTGGTGGCTGTAAAGACTAGAGAGGAGAGAGAGAGGAGGAATCGCACATATAGCTCTATTTGTCTTACAAATATCACACTAACTACCAATTACAGCACCATAAACCTCCTGCCTACTGCTTACCTCCCTACCCATAATGCAGGACACACAGATGCACTGGGCTAAGCCTCCCCTCTCTCTCTCTCTCTCTCTCTCAGCTGGTGTGGTAGAAGAAGCTGTGGTCGTTGATGCAGGAAGCACAATCAATGAGGCTGGTAATGAGGTCTTTCTTAAAGAGTAGAGGGGCTGCTAGATTAATACTGAGATAGAAACAGAACAGGGCAAACCTGGCACTGCCACTTCCGGTTTCACTACTGCACTCTGGCCAAAGGTGAAACTGGCAGCAAATCACTGCGAAAGAACACCATATTTTATTTGGTTTTGTTTTGTTATTTATCAACAAGGTGAAAAGAAACTCTCTCTTTCTCTCTCAGCTGGTGTGGTAGAAGAAGCTGTGGTCGTTGATGCAGGAAGCACAATCAATGAGGCTGGTAATGAGGTCTTTCTTAAAGAGTAGAGGGGCTGCTGGATTAATACTAAGATAGAAACAGAACAGGGCAAACCTGGCACTGTCACTTCCAGTTTCACAACTGCACTCTGGCCAAGGGTGAAGCTGTACGCAAATCACTGTAAAAGAAACCTGAAAAAAAAAGAAAAAAAAAGCATGCATGCATTAAAAAATAAAAATAAATAAATTTAAGCAGGCATTAAAGGTGAATATTACTGTTTGTGTAGAGTGGGGTTTAAAGTCTGACACCACACTAAAAATCTAAGATCTAAATTTTGAAATATGCTGTTCTTAAGAAAATGTTTTGGAATTTTGAAATTGTACATAAGGAAAGATTTTGAGATTAAATAAATTAGAAATATCTATACAAAAAAAATTAATTAATGTTGATATGAAATATATGAATCACAACTTTTCATATAAATTTTCATCATGATAAAATAATTTGCAATAGATTGACAGAACTGTAGATAGACAGAAAGATAGATAGACAGACAGACAAAATATTAATTATATTGAACAGTTTTATAAACAGCACAAATTAATCCATAAAGCTAAATGGTAAAAAAATAAAATAATATATATATATATATATATTTTTTTTTTTTCATGCAATGAGGTAAGAGTTTTATTGTTCATGCTGTGGATGTAAGAGAGTAAGTTTTACTATGTTACATAACACAGAAGCATCACTGTCAGTCAGAATGATCTTTTTATTTTTCTGGAAGAGGTCGAAGTTCAATTTGCAATTTTATTCTTTTCAAGAAGCACCTGTAATCAAATTCTGTGAAGATGGAAAATTAGCTTATTAAAAATACTGTGCTACCATATGAGGATTCTGTGTTTCTAATACATATTTCCATTTGCTGCTGAAAATGGGCCACTGATGGACAGAGCCTGCCAATAAACATGAGCTTATTAGCCGACGAGAGAGTCATCAGCGGCAGATTTACCAGCTTTCCACCACTCATCCGCTGGAGGTGTGGAGAGTTGCCCCCGCTGCCTGGATCTCTGAGCCCAGGCCAAGCTTCGCGCTCTGGGGCCGCAGATCCAGCCGGCTGGCCTCTCCTGTGCGGCCCACTGCCCTCGCATTAAACAGCTATGCCTCAGCTGCTGGAAATGTTATTCTAATTAACAGGGGATTAAGTCATCATCTTCTCATGTAATACTGTCTGGATGGGAATTTCAATATGGAATGGCGGCCCAAAAAAAAAAGGCAGTTAGCATCTCAATAAATTACTCTTGACCTCCAGGATGACAGTCTATTGGCGCGTCAATTGCCTGCCAATTAAACCGATCCGTCCTTGCCAAAACTTTATTGGGATGGTTTGGGTTTTTCATTTGAACACAAATCATTGGGCTAGAGATGGAAGAGGGTACTACATGGCTGGCTGCGATCGCGAGTCTGATGGGAATTCTGACAAGTTTGTACAATAAAGTCTTCAGAAATATCACTGGCCTGACAGCTTCGCAAAAACAGTTTCTTGTGAAGCGCAGATCTTTGATAAATGACCATATGTGGATTGTCACAGGCGAAGAGCTGAGAAACAAACACAAGCGGTCCGAACAGACTTCAGAGGAACTGGACAGACAGAGGGAGCCCTAACAAGCCCACTAGGCCCACACTTTGATTGTCTCAAACGGCTCGCTTTAAAAAAAGCATCAGTCATGTCGTGACATTTGACTAAGACTTATGGACTTAAAACTAGCTCAGTGGGGAGACCGTTTGGAGTGTGCAGACTCGACCAGTGTATTATGTTCTTTGGAGCGAGTGTGGATTGTGCCATTGAGAGACCCACTCATAAAAGGATTTGGACAAAACCAAAAAGAAATCAGCATGGCTCTTAGTATGGCTAACCCTGATGCAACCTGATGCAATTTACAGCTCTCTGATGATAATAAATACACACCAAAACCTTCAAACAAATTATTATTATTATTATTAATTATACATCATACTGATTAACAATTCAAAGCATTACATTTCTAACCGCGAAAATAACCTAAGAAAAATAAAATATAAAATAAAATACAAGCGCCACCCACATAACCAGGGTGATAATTAATGCACCCCAAACCTCTCCAACAAATTTGTCATATTTTTATTTTCAATATGGAATATTTATATATGTATATGTATATTTATATTTATAGGAATATGTATATTTATTAAAACATCTTCCTCAGGGAACATTGATTTGCCCCCCACAATGCAGGTGATTGCAGGGTTTAGTTTACCATCTTTGTGGGGTCTCCACAATGCAGGCAAAACTTGACCGACACAAATTTAAACACAAATACACACGTCACTGGCGAACTGATTCGACAGGATAGAAAGAAACAGACAAGCTAGCTCTGTGTAGTAGGGGAGTGGATCTAGATTTCCTGTGGAAGTGAATTAAAACCAACAGGAGGAGGGTGGCTTAAGGTGGCGGTGGCAGACACAGCCTTAGATCCCTCTCCTGAGAATCCCTCTATCTCTCTCTCTCTCTCTCTCCTTCCATACTCCTTTACATTCTTCATCTCTCTTCTCTACTGGGACATATAAAAAGCACGTAGTCCCCAGTGACACCAAAACACAGAACATTCTCTTTCCTCCTCCTGCTTTCTCTTCTCACTCTTTCCTGTCTTTCCGTCCTCTGTGGTGCCGTTCAGATACAGGAGCATATCAAGTCCTCAAAGAGAAATCTTGATCAGACTGGGAAATGAGGTGGAATTTAAAGTTGAGAAGAAGCGTTGCTGCTTTATGTCTTGTTGCTTTGAATGCTTTGAGTTTTTTTAAAAGGGTCAAAGTTTGCAATATAGGTCAAGGCAAAGTGTTAAATCCTGATATTATTTAATACGTAGTCTATAAAAAGACACTTTCACAAGCTCTTCATTAAAACCTCTCAACCTTGTCCTTGTCCAAAAAACACACACACACACACACACACACACACACACACACACACACACGGTTGTCCACCTTGTGGTGGGTGATGGTTACAACATCTCTGAGCTTCAAAACAACTCATCACTCACCTCAAACCCCAAAGCAATGGACTTTCCACGACCACAGCCAGCACTCAACAGTCAGTCCACACACTGTATTTCAGAATTAAGTAGTAACATGACCTTCTGTGACTAAATTGAACTCATAAAGCTATATAGCAAGTGTAGCTTTACACCAATCATGCCTCGGGGTAAGGTAAGCAACAACATCCAGGATATATGTTACAATGTTTTATGTTTTCATACTAGGTTATTTATTTTAGTATAAATTTTTATGGAAATAAGTATTAGAATTTTAGATTTAGATTTTGTGTGTATGTTTATATATATATATATATATATATACAAACCCGATTCCAAAAAAGTTGGGACACTGTACAAATTGTGAATAAAAACAGAATGCAATGATGTGGAAGTTTCAAATTTCAATATTTTATTCAGAATACAACATAGATGACATATCAAATGTTTAAACTGAGAAAATGTATCATTTTAAGGGAAAAATAAGTTGATTTTAAATTTCATGGCATCAACACATCTCAAAAAAGTTGGGACAAGGCCATGTTTACCACTGTGTGGCATCCCCTCTTCTTTTTATAACAGTCTGCAAACGTCTGGGGACTGAGGAGACAAGTTGCTCAAGTTTAGGAATAGGAATGTTGTCCCATTCTTGTCTAATACAGGCTTCTAGTTGCTCAAATGTCTTAGGTCTTCTTTGT